AAAATATGTGCGTATTTATATATTTAAATATAATCCGTAGAGGACAAATATTGAATAAAGTATACGTTACAGTATAGACTTCAGATGAATGTGAATTTGATGCGGTTATTTTAGTTCTATTGCATAGTGAATCAGTAATGAAATCACGAATTGCTGTTGTAGTAAATCAGGGGACACCCCTGACCATTTGTGACAATACTACATTTCTGACTGTCCTCCTGATTCTTCAGCTTCATGACTTTGTGAAGTAGTGGAGTCATTGACCAGAAATGAGTATGTAGCTAGTGAAGTCAAAACATTGGACCTGCATACTTGTTCTGGGTCAGAGATTCAGTGACTTAGGGGTCTATTCACTAAGCTGCCGAAGGATCTAGCCGTAGCTTCGGTTGATCCTTCGGCTAGCTTCGGCCCCAGGACCCCTTTGGTTCAGTAGAACCGAAGGGCTGCTGTACGAGCTATTCACTATCGGCCGAGCGGCTCAGTCGAGCCGAAGGCATATGCCTTGGCTCGGCCGAGCCGAGGTGAAAGGCGGAGCTGGACGAACGGCCTGCTACTGACAGCTGAGCGGAGCCAGCCGTCAACTCACGGCTGGCTCAGGCCACTTGCAGAGACACATCAGCGTCCCCTGGTTAGGAGGTAACCAGGGGACGCTGATCTGTCATTACTCTCCCGGACGCTCCGGGAGTCTCCCGCTATTAGATAGCGGGAGCCGGCCTCCCGGGAGAGAAACACTGTCTCCCAGAAAGGTTTACTCTGCTCGATCGAGCAGAGTAAACCTTTCCCTGCTCTGTTCTTTTTTTTTTTCTTCTAACATCAGAGCCGTTGGCTCCGGGAGTCTCCCGCTCCCGGCTGCCCAGGAGAGAAACACTGCTTTTTCTTCTTTTTTCTTTATTCTGACACGGAGCCGTGCCAGAATAGAAAAATAAATAAATACCCGCCCAATGTACCCGCCCTCTGCTTATGGACCTGATGGAGAACTGCAGCAGAGGGCGGGTACATTGGGCGGGTATTTATTTATTTTTCTATTCTGGCACGGCTCCGTGTCAGAATAAAGAAAAAAAAAGAAAAAGCAGTGTTTCTCTCCTGGGCGGCTGGGAGCGGGAGATTCCCGGAGCACCCGGGAGAGTTTGCTGTCTGGAGATCAGTTTCCCTGGTTAGCTGGTAACTAGGGACCCTGATCTCTCTGCAAGTGACCGGAGCCAGCCGTAAGATCACGGCTGGCTCCGCCCAGCTGTCAGAAGCAGGCTGTCGGCCGGCCATTGGCCAGCTTCGGCTTTCAACGCGGCTCAGCCGAGCCAAGGCATATGCCTTAGGTTCGACTGAGCTGCTCGGCTAAGTTCGGGAGCTGTACGGGCTATTGTGAATAACTCGTACAGCAGCCCTTCGGTTCTACCGAACCGAAGGGGTCCTGGGGCCGAAGCTAACCGAAGGATCGGCCGAAGCTACCCCTTAATTTATTAGTGTGAGGTGAACCTGCTCAGATACATGGGAATGAGAAACAAACAGAACTTCTTTTCACATGATTGAACTTTAGTAATTCAGGCTGTATAAGCTCCCATTCACACCTCAGCCATTTATCATGTGTTTCCCGCGGCATGACGATGCTCAGCATAAAGAATCCCATTATTTTCAATCGTGGCAGGTCACACCTGAACATTGTGTCTGCTGTTGCTTGAAGTACATGAGCCTTTTTTCGGGAAGAATCGCACCAGAGACTTAAATGAGAGTGTGACATACATGCGGTACATACTTTTTTATATGTTACTTTGTGCCTAACAACCTCCCCGCAACGAGTTTTCCATTGGCTAAAACAAAGGCACGCAAGCCTGAAAATGCCCGAAAAACATGGCAAAAAAATGCACAAAGAAAGCTTTTAAACAATCTATAATACATTTAGCTCAGGTGTAAATGCTAAGGAGTGAAGCTAAAGAAATACCCTTACAGCCATGTATGGCTTCGGTAATGACAATATTGGCATTTGTTTCATGAGAGGGTCCCCCATAAGGACTAGTGTAGTCTCTTGCAGTAGGTCTACAGGGCAATTGCTACTGTTTTTGGCTACAGATGCAGATCAGTGATGACTGCAAATTTTAAGTGTTTAGGAAATTGTCAATACAAATGTCAGGGTTTGAGCAAATTACTTTTATTGTTAAAATGTATTTGTCAAATGATATTACTATTTTTTTTTCAGCACATATTTTCTGCTTAGAAATGAAACTATCACAGTGGCTTGTGGTTAGCACTTCTGCCTTGCTGCATTGAGGGTACCCGTTTAAAATCCTGGTCAGGACACTATCGGCAAGGAGTTTGTATGTTCTCCCTGCGCTTGCGTGGGTTTCTTCTAGGGATGTCCTGATACCGGTACTAGTATTGGTATCAGGGCCGATACCAGGCATTCTTAAAGCCGATACCGGCTCTTTACATTCTTAAACTGCAGCAGCTGCTAAGGTCCTGCGCTTGTAGGGGCCTCGGCAGCCTGCTGGGGACCTGGCAGTGCCTGTCCGGTTCTATATATCCTCCTCCTCCTTCCTGGCGCAGGCACAGCCACCACACAGCACAGTACAGCCCCGGAGATGGCACCTGCCCGATCAATTCTCCACAGCATAGCCACAGCCCGCAGAGGCGTGCAGAGATCCGCATGCTGCCTGGGAGAGATTGCAGCCTGGTGAGATGTACTGTGCTCTGGGGACATGTATTCTGCTCTCGGGACATGTGTATTGTGCTCTGGGGACATGTATTGTGCTCTGCAGACATGTATTGTGTTCTGGGGACATGTTTTGTGCTCTGGGGACATCTGTATTTAGCCCTGGTGAGAAACTGCCCTAAAATCATCAGTCTGTGTTGTTTTAGAAAAAATGTCACATGTCCCTTCAGGAAAAAGCATCAGTAATTGATATTGGCAAATACCTGAGGGAAAGTACTTGTACTTGGTCTTGAAAAAGTGATATCAAGACATCCCTAGTTTCCTCCCACACTCCAAAGACATACTAGAAAGTTAATTGTTGATTGTTTCTGGGCCCAAAATGCATCCTAATGTATCCCTATACTATTTCTGGCCTCTGTTCACACCAGTGCAGTCCGTTCCAGACCAGATCAGAAAAATACAGCATGTCTCATTCTGTTTGGTCTGCAATGCACTGGAACACATGAAAATGCATCCAAACGTATACAAATGCATGCAAACACACTGGAACGCACCTGAAAGCCCGTTTTAAGCTAAAAAAAAAAGCAAGAAAAATCACAGCTCTGGAACGCGGAACATTTGTTGGAATCATTGCTGTAAAAATGCAGCAAAAACTCAATGCACTTCGTTTCAGATCAGGGCTGGAAAATGGTGTGAACCTGCCCCAAATCAGCCCTGTATGTATGCATGTGAGATAGGGACCTTTGAATGTAAGCTCATTGAGGGCAGGGACTGATGTGTGTGTGAAACTACATAAATTGTTGGAGCTTTATCAAATACCTGTAATACATGAACATAAAAAATAGCCCTATAAGTAAGACCGATGCAGAAACCTCCAGCATAAAAAAAATATGTTTTCGGCTTGATTCACACCTAGGCGGCACTGTTTTCGCGTGTTAGCAGCATGCGGTTATTTGCGCATTTATTAGCGTTGTGCACATTTTAGCGTGCGTACATGAAGACGCGCGTTTTGACTAGCAGCTCATTAACCATGGCAGGCAATGGCAGAACGCGCGTTTAAACATGCAAAAACGCTCATGAAAATGTGCAACACCCTTCTCTTCTTCTAATTTTTGCCCATTTACAATGACGTCTATGTGGCAAACTGTCCAAAGAAGCTCATGCTTGCGTTTTTCTGCTCAGGTGTGAACCCGGGCCATTGAAAATCATGGGGTTTCTTGTGTTGGGCATTTAAAAGCACTTTTCCAATTGCTCAAAAACTCCTGGGTGTGAACGACACCTAAAGGTGAGTAAAGTATTAATGTTTGTTAGTACTTTGAAGCATAGGCAAGTAAATCCATTCTAGTGGTTGGAATATTAATTAATTCAATATTTCTTTATTCTATACACTAGAATGAATTAACATGTTTACGCATGCGTTTACATGAGTATGTGCGTAAATTATGCCAGTAAATTCTCTCGTTTGGGCTTTTTTATAAATGTCCATGTATACTGTTTTAGATTATGGATCTAAATACCACAATGTTCATGAACACATTAGCTATTAGGACTCATGCATA